ATAACCATTACTATATATACCGTGAATTTTCCATCACCCACATTACCATTGGAATAGCTAACAGTGCCGACAGTAACCGAAGCGTCAGTATGTCAATGAAATTCTTAGACAAGTATTGTATCTGTATATTGCATCAGGTCTAGCTCTTAGAAAGTTATTCAATGATTGCTAAGCTTCAACTATGCATCACAGATTCACCGTCCTTTGTGATTAGGCCAAGATCAGTCTGACCTCCCTCCCCCCTTTCAGGCCAAGTCACACTGACTCGCGAGAAAATTTACTCTGCGTACGTTTATATAAGCAGCATGGATCCGAGGCGCGTTAACAAGCTTAAGTATAAAAGGTAACTTTCACAAAACATGACGAAGTCATGAACCAAAATTTAGAGAAGAATCACTCACATAAGCCCATGCAGCAATGCCCGAGATGAACTGGCCTACAGCTTTGAAAAATGAGCTAAATAGTATCACAAATCTGTCTCTTCAAGTATGTCAACCTGCCAACTCTTAATCACGGAAATAAGGGCTGTATATTGATGGAAAGTGTGCGATCCAAGACGTGATCGTTGGTCTTGACAAGGCTCGACAAAGTTTGGAAAACGGTGGTGATCTGAGATGCACTCATCCATGAATTGGTCATTTGTTGATTGAAAGATTCAACATTTCCGATAATCCTCCCTGACCATAAACCCCTCTGCCGCATCTTGGGGGGGGGGACAATTCTCCGCTTGACCAAGTCATCCGTGTCTAACGGCAATAACAAATGTCTCTCATTGAAAACCCCTGGATGAGGTGTTGAACACCTCTGGCGCACTCATATCCAAGGCACTTCTGAGAACGATAACTTTCTGATAACATAATCGCGCAATATTCCTGTTGTCATCCTCCAGCAGACAGCGCTGGGCGACCAGGTGTGGCTCCGTTGGAGCTCAAGAAGTTGGATTCTCAATAATCAAGTCACAGTCTCTCTTGTCGAGGTCAGTCGGACCCGCCGCTTTAAAGAAAAGAGGCCACTAATGTCATTGCTGCCCTGTGGTTAGGCATCGTTCTGTCAAAGGCTAAAAGAGTCAACTTCGACAAAAATAGGACGGAATTGGGGGTCCATCTGTATTAAATTCCACAGGCAACCGTCAGCCTTGCCAGCGAGGGACAGAACTTCATGCTCCAATGCAACGATAAAAATATTAGTGTATTAAATTTAGAAATGTCTAAAAGAAAGCAAATAATAAGGTATGAAAAATTGCTATACCATGCAGATCTTGATGGAAGCCACATTCGCGAATGCATTTGTACAGGACCTCGCGGTTTCGCTTTCCAAAGAAATGCATGACGACAGCTAAACTCTCGAAGGCACTCAGTCGGACATTCCTTTTCCTGTCTGCTAGCAACGGACAGATTTTTTGCAATATCGAGTTCAAGACGTCTTCCTTCGGTTCCGAGAGCTTCAGCAGGGCGGCCGTAATTAGATTCAGACATTCTTCTCTAACGCGTGAATTTCGATGCTTCAGAAAATGACCGAACAGTTCGAAGACGCGCAGGGGTGGAAAAATGGACAGCAAATCCACGACGATGAGCAGGTTCATTTTTTTAACTATTGGCTTCTGGTTGCCAAAGTTTCTGGCGATAGTCATCGAGACAACCGGGAGGTAGATGAGCAGGTCTAATTTCAGTCTATCGATGACGACCTTAAGAAGCGAAAGGCACTCGACCGTCACCCTGACGCTGAGGTCGTTGAGGATGGTGTTCAAAAAGTTGAGGAACGAGCAAAGGTTGGTTCGAAACACCTCGAGGTCGTTCTCTTCGAAATGGTCAATGATGGCTCGTAGCTGCTGCAGGCCGGCACACCTGATCTGCACGTTTGGGTCGTCTTTAACCTGAGCGATCACTGACGACGGGATGATGCCGTAAAACGCCTGCAGGTTTTCGGTTGAAGACACAAAGTCGCAGTCGCACAACCGACCGTAGTTCTTGCTGATCAAGTCCTGGTTGTAGAACCGGTGGAGATTGTCGTCTTGCTTCAACAGCATGAATTCGTAATGGTCGCGTTGAGGCGCATTCAGCATCTGGATATAGCGGTTAAATTGCCGCTGACCAACGAAGGTCAGCAGTCGACCGAGGGTCGCCAAAATCGACTGGGTCAATGCAAAGCAGTCTTTTTCGCCGCGGTCGACCTCCTGCAACAGCTGCGTCAAGTAGTCGGTCAAAAATGACCAGTCGAACGTCGCCAACTGCGAGTGAAAAAACTTCGGCACCTCTTTCAAAATCTCCATTTGTTGCTCCTCGTGTTTCTTCATTCCCTCGGTGACCACAACTTTCTC